GTCCTTCACCCAGTTACCCCATCCTTCCACCTCCCCACCCTTCCAGCGACCCTCAGTTTGTTTCCTGTGATTAAGAGTCTCTTATGGTTTGTCTCCCTCTCTGGTTTCATCTTGTTTCATGTTTGCATTGTTTCTAAGAGAAGTGTGATGTAATTCTTATTTTCCTCTGTAACTAAATTCCCGTACTTCCTCCCCTCATTTCTCCAATCCTCCGTGTCCCTGATCTGGCTTCTTTCCAGATTTTCTCTTTGTATTTGGTTTTATGCAGTTTTAATATCATAAAGCTAGGTATTGTTTTTGGTATTTATCCTGCTTGGAGTTCTCTGTAGTACTTAGATTTGTGGTTTTGTGTCTGTCATTAACTTTGGGAAATTCTCAGCCATTATTACTTGACATAGCTCCTCTGTTCCTTTCTCTTTCTTCTCCTTCTGGTATTCACATTTTATATATGTTAAACCTGTTATAATTGTCCCACAATTCTCAGATATTCTATTCCATTTTTTCATTCTTTTTTTCTCTTTACATTTCTATTTTAGAAATGTCTATTGACATATCTTGAAACTCTAATTTTTTTCCCCTTGGCCATGTCCATCCTACTGATGGGTTCATCAAAGGCATTCTTCATTTTTTTAAAAAATATTTATTTATTTATTTGAGAGAGAGCAGAGAGCACAAGTCGGGGTGGAGGGGCAGAGGGAGAAAGAGAAGCAGACTCTGTGCTGAGCAGGGAGCCCAATGCTGGCTTGATCCCAGGACTCTGAGATCATGACCTGAGCCAAAGGCAGACACTAAACCCAACTGAGCCACCCAAGCGCCCCCATTCTTTATTTTTGTTATGTGTTGTTATGTGTTTTTGATTTAGCATTTCCTTTTGATTCTTTCTTAGAGTTTCTATCTGTCTGCTTACATACTTATTTATTTTTATTGTCCACTTTTCCCAGTAAATTCGTTAACATGTCAATCATAGTTGTTTTAAATTCCAAGTCTTATAATTCTAAAATCTCTGCCGTATCTGAATCGGTTTCTGATGCTTGATTTATCTCTTCAGACCGTTTCTTTTTGCCTTTTAGTATGCTTGGTAATTTTTTGTTGAAAGCTAGACATAATGTATTGGGGGAAAGGAACTTCAGTAGATGGGTGGTTAGTTTCAGGTCTTATGTTTATCTGGCCAGGAGTTAGGCTGTGTTTACTATTTGTTATAGCTCTGGGGTCCAAGGCTAAAATTTTCTCTGTTTAGTTCTGTTTCCCTTATTGTCTTTGAGTTTTCCTAGAGACCTTAAATAGGGTGTGAATCCTACAGTTCTTCTGTAATTCCCTGTTATTTTATAGGAACCCTAATGATGTGGTGGTAATGTGGGGAGATATAGGAGGAAATGTTCTATACTCCTGTCATTAGGTCTCATTCCTTTGGTGAGCCCGAATTGGCCATTTCCCTTGCCTCATGTCAGTTAAGCTCTGGTAAAATAATTTCTTTTATGGGCAGGCCTTATTAAGGAGAACAGAAAGGTCTAGAATATTTCAAAATGGTTACTTTTCCCCTTCCACTGCTGCAAGCAGGAAAGGATTTTTTTCTTGTCTTCACAGTGAGAACCTCGTGGGACTCATGGAAATAAAATTGGGAAACGTTTGGGAGATCTGTCTTTAAGGCTGCACCTCCTATTAATTTTTAATGGTTAAGCTAGTCCATACTGAGCCTGAGCAATTAATCACTTACAGTTGAAGGTGTTCCTTCCACAGTAACGGCTTCAACCTATGACTTCTGCACCTGGGCTTTTGCTTCCTGTAAGCCCTGATTCTCTGTATCTGCCTGTCTGTTTTTCCAGTTTTCAGGACAGTAGTTTGCTCTTTGACCTCATTTCTCTGATAGATGTAAGGAGAGTTGTTGATTTTTAATTTGTTCAGCTTTTTTTTCTTTTTGTGCAGATGGTAGTGACTGCTTCCAAGTTCTTTATATGTTGGACAAGAAACCAGAAGTTTATGTTTCTTATTAGAATGAAGATTTCACTTTAGAGCATGCTTAGTCTCTTAAGCCTTGTATGAACTTCCCTAGAAACAATGTTTCCAGTGAATATTTGAACACAGATGACATTTGGACAGAGATTTTTTTCTCATCTCCTTTTGAAATTATCTTTTGTTGATTTTTCTAAATGCAGAGTACAATCCCATGTAAGCAGGAGGGCAATGGATCCTTGATGCTTTCTTTCTAAACCTTGATTCAGCAATTATAAAAGATTTTTTCTAAAATCTCTTTTTAAAGATTTAAAGATTAAAAAAAAAGAAAAACCCAAACACTTCTCCCTCAAAACATGTAGACAGGATGAATAGTGAGGAGAATTTGTGTACTATTTTTAACTCCTTTCAGTGTACCAGATACTATTCTATGTGGCTACAAGGAAGAGTAAAGGTGGGATACCCAAATTATAATGTTCTAAGGCTAGTCAGGTAACAGAAAGGTGCATGATATGAAGCCTGTATATTACATGATGCTATTCAGTCACATCCAGAGGAGCATAGAGGTGGGACACTTCATCTTAATCTTGGTAGGGTTGAGATGAGGCATGAACAGTTGCCGGAAACAGTTGACATGTGATGGGGGCTAAAGGAGAACATTCAGGCAGACAGAATTGACTAAGAAATAGAGGGTTTAATCTATGGTTGCTCTTCTTCTGCAGTCAGGAATTAGAGAGCAAGGCAAATTGGGCAAGTTACACAGTGTTTCTCCAACTCTACTGATGTATGGTTTTATTATTTGGTTTGATATTTTGTGAAGACACTTGCCTTATAATGTATTTTGAAACCAAGTGTAAGCAGTTTTTGAATCGTTTTCTATTACCATGTAGTATGAAAGTTGAGAATTAACTAATATTTTATTTCATATTGACTTAAGGTATGAACTGCCAAAATAGTTTAATTTTTTAATTCTCAAATTATGTCTCTGAAGTATTTTGTGTAGTGGTAGAATTAACTTGGGTTTGAATTAAGTTTGATTGGTTTTATTATTGCTTTAAACATAAGGATATTTTATGATTTCATAGGTAATAGGAAATTTTCAGAAATGATAAGCCACTCATTTTAGCTAATCTCAGGTCATTTTTCTTGAAGTGGCAGGCCATTATATAACTTCATACATAATTTTGTCTGATTCTACATATTTTTAGTTTATTTTTTTAAGGTTTACAGCACCACTACCTTCTGGTGAAGGTGTAATGAATATAATTTTGACTACTACATCAAGATATAGGAATACTATTTGATTAATAATTATTGGATTATTGCCTTGTTCTAGTGTAGTGTTGTAGTGTTTGAAATTATCATTACTAGCCAAGGTAAAGCTCTTCTAGCATGCATCCAATATACTCTTTCTAAAATGAATGAATACGTATACATAGAAGAAAGAATTTTGGGCTCCTTAAAGAAAGCAGGATAGAGAATCTATTTTAGATTACAGAATACAGCACCAAAGCAATTGACATCTTAATTTTTTAAAAAAATAATCTTCTGATTTTGTTTTATAAAATTTGACTTTTAATTATGTTGCTGCTAAAATTATTCTCTGAGATATTGTGCATAGATGATTAAAGACGTTTTTGGAGAGAGCAACACTTCTTAAAATGACCATTAAAATCTATTAAATCATTGCTTTCACTTGGTATCTCTTTCCTTACTCTCTTTGCTTTCCTTCACAGAAATAGTGCATTAGCTTTCTAGTTTTGCTATAACAAATTACTATAATTTCAGTGGCTTAAAGCCACACAAATATATTATCTCACAGGTCAGAAGTCCAATATGATTGTCACCAGACTGAAATCAAGGTTTGCACAGACTATGTTCTTTCTTGGAGACTCCAGGAGAGAATCCATTTACTGCTTATTTGAGTTGTTGGCAGAATTCAGGTCCTTGTAAATACAGGACTGAGGACTTGTTTTCTAACTGACTGTTAAAGGGTTATCCCACGTTTTAGAGGCTCATGGTCTCCTTCCTCCATCTTCAAAATCAGCAATGACCATTCAAGGTCATTTCACTTTGCATCCTTTTGTTCTTCTGTGATCTTCCAGTTTTAAAAAGTTAAAGGATTAGATTGGGCCAATTTGGGTAATCCAGGATAATCTCCCCATCTCTGGTCCTTAACCTTAATCATATCTGCATAATTTCTTTTACCATGTAACATAACATATGACTAGGTTCAAGGAGTCAGAATGTGGACCTATTTGGGGAACTATGTTTCTGCCTGCTACAAACAGTAATACTAACTGGTGCCTAATTTTGCTGGATTAATTTTTCTTTTTTGTATAGAATACCTCTGACTTTTTCCTCCTGGATTCAGTAAATACAAAACAGGTGTTAGGATTCAGTCACGTTAGTACTGTATCAGGTACAATTCCTATATGGAAATCATAGGAGAAAACAGATTCTAGAAACACTGAAAAAAGAAAATATGGTTTCAGAGTACTGCTTTGAAAAAAACAGGAAGTCCTTATATATTTTTGCAAGTTTATATTAACTGGCCCTAATTTTTAGTATTAAGGTTCATAGTTATTCACATAGCAGCAGGAAGTAAGCCAGAATCTCCTAATTTAGTATTAAAACATTTCAGTTATAAAATGAATAAATACTAGGGATATAATGAACAACATGATGACTACAGTTGACGCTGCTGTAGGATACATAGAAAATTTGGAAAAGAGTAAATCCTGAGAGTTCCCAACACAAAGAGAAATTTCTTTCCTTTTTTTACTTTTTTCTTTTCTTTCTATCTAAGTAAGAAGATGGATGTTAGCTGAACCTGTTGTAATCATGTAACAGTATATGTAAATGAAACTATCATGCTGTAATGCCTGAAAATTATAGTGATGTATGTCGATTATTTCTCAATAAAATTGGTGGAGGTGGACACTCAAAGATAGAGAGATACTCATTCAGAGCAATAACATAATAATTTATGTGAATTTTGATAATGGATGACATTACATCTTAATGTGTTATTTTTGTTTCCTATCTAGATTATCACAAAGTATGTATATGAGCTCTTGGAAAAGGACTGTAATTTGAAAAAAATCTCGATTCCAGTAAGTCCAGTTTTTAAAAATGATTAAACTTCCAAATCAAATAGTTTTCAATTCAGAAGAAACTATTTATATTAGTTTAACTGTGATAAGTTTAAACATTAAGGTCCTAATATGTTGATACTGATAATGATAATATTAAATGCCTGCCAGTATACCTCATTTCATTGTGCACAATAATTCTTTAAAATTAATACTCTTCAATGTAGAGAAAAAAATAGTGATAACCAGTCTTTTTTGAAAATGATGATGCCTTTAAAAGGACTACCCCCTCTGTCTTTTCTCATTTAATTGGTATAATTTATTTTTATGTATTTTTTGAAGTAAACCAGTGTACTTGATATTGCACTAGACATTCACTGTCTCTTTAATTTCCTGATTTTTATAATTACATATTTTATTTCCATGTTATTTCCTGTACACATTTCCACATTCATTCCTCATGCTTCCTGTTTTATAACATTGCTCCTTCCCTTTCTTGCAGAACATTCTTTTCAAATTTTGTACATTCTCCCATCTCAGAGTGAAAAAGTTTGAGATTTGTTCTTAGTCTCAAATTCACAAAAAAATTTTTTAATGTAAAACATGATATAATCAAAAAATGAAGAAATAATAATCTTATCTATGAAACAATGGTGGTGTTAGATTAGATGATCCCTACTGTTCCTAATATAACTCTTTAAGTTATATTGATAACTCAATATAACTGAATTGAAAACTATTTTATGATATATAAAAATCTGGAAGGCTTAATGAAAGTAATTAATTTAAGGCACAAAACTTTGCGTATAAATACTTTGTTTACATGAAATTTTGCATGAGATTTTTAAATTCCTTGGGTAGTGTTACTCTACCAAGAATTGGAGGGTTTGAGGATTTTTTAATAATATTTATCCTCACAAATCAATTCCAAAGTTCAATATTTAAAAGGAAAATCTATTTTATGTTTAATTTTATATAAATACGCTCAAATGCGAGGTCACATTGTTAATCATTTATTCAACAAATATTTGTTCAAGAGTCTTTTAGGTTGCCAGGCACTATTCCAAGTGCTTGTAATGTACTAGTGAATAAAATATTATTCTGTGCAATAGCTAGGCTAACCCTCATTTACTTGGAAACTTTTCTCCCTTTTGTTCAGTCTTCCTTTCTTGCTAATTTTATTTCTTTCAAAGGTTTTGAAGAACAATATTTAAGGAGACTTAGCTTGGTTTATTGTTATAACACAATTAAGACTGAGCCATTTAACTCTTTAATACTTCTATGTGGAGCTTTTAACCCCCCTTTAATTCCTTAGATTTCCAGAAGAGATCAGAAGATGATTGGCCATATAGATTATGTTATATGATTAAGTTTCCCTAATTTTCTTTATAGAAAGCTTGAGATTAGGGTTAGGAGGACTTTGTTTTATAGATCTGATTACCTTCCTCTCATTTAAATTTAGACTATAAAGCTAATAAGCAAAAAAAAAAAAAAGCTAATAAGCATAGAGAAAGCTTTACATTATATGAGACCTGTAGTAAGTGTCATGTCCATTTTTGGTTAGTAAACATTTCCTGATTTTATAAACTGAAAAGAAACTGAAATTTGTTCTGTTTTAGGAAATTAATGTCTCTCCTTAAATTATCATCCTATATTTTATATCATTGTGAAATTTTTCTTCTATAACTATTCATTTTCTCCTGAGTTCTCTTAAATCCCAAAGCTAGCAGTGAAGGTGGTTTTTTGTTTTGTTTTTGTATCACAGTTTTGTATTACAGTTGTTCTTTTTATTATAGGAATACCACCAAAAGTTTTTTTTTTCCTGATGACGAACTAAGTTTTACTTTTATAGTTTAACTATTTAATAAGGAAAGAAAGACTCCTTTCCTTTCCTTTCCTCTCCTTTCCTCTCCTTTCCTCTCCTTTCCTCTCCTTTCCTCTCCTTTCCT